GATTATAATTTTAATTCGCCGAATTCCTATTATGTACATAATTTTAATATCTGAATGTCTATTATGTAAATAATTTTAATTCCCGTAGTTTTATTATATACATAATATTAATTGATCAAATTTCTATTATGTACAATTTCAATTATTTACATTATAGAAATACGGCGAATTAAAATTATGTATATATAATAAAAAATGAAAAATTAAAATTGTGTGCATAATAGAAATTCGACGAATTAAAATTATGTACATAATAGAAAATCGGGAATTAAAGTTATGTACTCCCTCATAATAAAATTATGTACATAATTAATATTTGGCGAATTAAAATTGTGTACATTTGCTGATCATATATTATTTATTATTTACGCGTCGAAAACTCCCGCGCGTAGTAATACGTGAAATCGGCCGATTCTGACGTCACGACGTTACCAACTTCAGCCAGCGCCGCCATTAGTTAGTGCGAGTCCAGCGGCGGAGGAGCAAAGGTGCGTCGCGAATGCTCCGCGTCTCGTCTGGATTTCGTCCGCGAGTAACGCGAATAAACGGGAGTGCAAGTCCGGGAGTGTCGGTTTTCGACGTGATGGACCGAATAATATGCTCGAAGAGCATTCGGGCGTCGATTGGGACTTGGGGACCAGTTGGCGATCGGAGGGACGGGGAGGAGGGCGTTTCTCGTTTGAGAGTGTTCCGCCGTGATTTTCGTGTAGATTTCGCCGCTACTCGCTCGCCCGAGAGCCTCGAGGAGATACCTCATCGTCTCGAAGGGTATCCCGACGTCGACGGGGCCCCGGGAGTCGGATCATCGCGAATTCGCGGGATTGCAAGCTACAGGTGGGGTCAAGGGGAGGGGACTGTGGCTTGCGACATCATTTCGACGGTATTTAGACTATATTTCTACATTTATCGTGCGGTGTTTCGGCATCATCCTCCCGACGAGGAGTTTCGCGAGTGCTCAAGCATCTTCTGGAGTGCCCGAATATTGTAGAGTGTCCAAGAAGCTTGACTTCATCCGTCGATTCAAATTCTAGGTGAGCTTTCGTGACGCTTCCGCGTAACGGTCGTAGCGCGCAAGTGTTACTTCCCCTGAGTGAGACTTCCCTCGCGATGCCACGAAATAACGCGGCGCGCCGGGAGATGTCGCGTAGACCTCTATAGACATAACGAGTGAATTTAAGGGCATTTCGATGCGTTTAATCTGATTAATATTCGGACGCTCGCTTTCCCGGAATCAAAAAAGTATTTTTCAACAGATATTTTGTTCGTGTTTTTATTCGCGAATGCGATATCGAACGTGATCGAATGGGATGCTCGAAAGTGCCGAATGCATTCGCCAGTGATATTATTTTTCGTCCGTTTATTTCGTCCGTATCGTCCGTTTATTTCGAAGTGCATCTGTGTAGTGAAGTGCAACAAATAATTATTGCAAATATAAAATAATAGAAAAAACAGTGCAGTGATCAGTGCCAAATCATATGGGATGACAGCAGAGCAGCAGTGAAATATAAAAGTGGATATATGTATAAAAGGAGAAAGGTTTGGATAATCGACTTAATGCAAGGTGAGTTAATTTTTCTTTATGTTACATTCGGATTTTTTTTTTTTTCGGGAGGAATCACTGTAGCGACTTCTATTTTTTTTGACTAACTAATATAAAAAACAAATATTAAGAAAAACATCTAATCTGATAAAAAATAAACCTAACTTGAGAAAAAATAATACTAATATTAAAAACTATAGAATAAATAATAGAAATAATAATACTAATATTAAAAAAAATAATCTAAAATTTGGACAAACGTATTTTTGTTCTAAATTATTAAAGTTCAAAATTATTAAAAGTTAATATAATATTGAGAAATGGCGCGCACGTAGCGTTAATTAATATAGTTTTCGTATTGAAATATAAATTCTTTAAATTCAGATGCCACATGTACATCACTAAAAACACGATATTTGCAAGTGCCAATAAATTTTAAGCGGAGATAGATCGTTGTCGATTTGGAAGCAAAATATTTAAAAAGTGACCGACTTTAAGAAATTTCAGTACTCATGCTCAATTGTATTTAGAATCAATTCTTATTGTTTGGAACGTTTGCAATCGAAACCTGTATCAATAAAAATACAACAAATTGAAAATCTTGAAATTTGAAGAAAATCATCTTTGACAGGTTTCTTAAACTACTGTAATTATTAAGGCGTGTGAGTACAAGCGAAACGAAAATCACTTCACACATCTATAAACGATTTTTAATAAAACTGCTGATTTGGATTTGCGTTATTTTTAGTTTGGGAAAAACTTGAACTTTTGATTTTTTGACTGACGACGCGAGCGATCGACGTATTATCATTTTCGGTATTAAAAAAATTAATTCCTCATAGTCAGCTATCAGATTCACACTAATATATATTGAAAACACATATTCAAGTGCGTTCAAAGTCTTTAAGCGAAGATAGATCGATTTCGATGTTGAAACGAAAAATTTAAAAAGTGACAAGCTTTAAGATATGTCAAATATACATGCTCAGTCGTGTTTAGAATCGTTTCTTGTGGTTCGGGACATTCGCCTACGAATGTTACATCGATGTACAAAGCAGAATTAAAAATCTTGAAATTTGAAAAAATTCGTCTCTGACAGTTTTCTTTAAACTGCTGTATTTTTTAAAGTGTGCAACTTAAAGCGAAATGAAATTCACTTTACACATCTATAAACGATTCTTAATAAGACTGCTGATTTGGATTTGCGTTATTTTCAATTTGAAAAAATTTATTTTTCACAGTTTTGTTTAAACTGCTGTATTTTATAAAGTGTGCGACTTAAAGTAAACGAAATTCATTTCACACAACTATAAACGATTCTTAATAAGACTGCTGATTTAGATTTGCGTTATTTTCAATTTGAAAAAATTTATTTTTCACAGTTTTGTTTAAACTGCTGTATTTTTTAAAGTGTGCGACTTAAAGCGAAACGAAATTCAGTTCACACATCTATAAACGATTCTTAATAAGACTGCTGATTTGGATTTGCGTTATTTTCAATTTGAAAAAATTTATTTTGACAGTTTTGTTTAAACTGCTGTATTTTTTATAGTGTGCGACTTAAAGCAAAACGAAATTTATTTCACACAACTATAAACGATTCTTAATAAGATTGCTGATTTGGATTTGCGTTATTTTCAATTTGAAAAATTTATTTTTCACAGTTTTGTTTAAACTGCTGTATTTTTTAAAGTGTGCGACTTAAAGCGAAACGAAATTCAGTTCACACATCTATAAACGATTCTTAATAAACTGCTAATTTAGATTTGCGTTATTTTCAATTTGAAAAAATTTATTTTTCACAGTTTTGTTTAAACTGCTGTATTTTATAAAGTGTGCGACTTAAAGCAAAACGAAATTCATTTCACACAACTATAAACGATTCTTAATAAGACTACTGATTTAGATTTGCGTTATTTTCACTTTGAAAAAATTTATTTTTGACAGCTTTGTTTAAACTGCTGTATTTTTTAAAGTGTGCGACTTAAAGCGAAACGAAATTTATTTCACACGTCTATAAACGATTCTTAATAAGAGTGCTGATTTAGATTTGCGCTATTTTCAATTTGAAAAAATTTATTTTTCACAGTTTTGTTTAAACTGCTGTATTTTTTAAAGTGTGCGACTTAAAGCGAAACATAATTTAGTTCACACATCTATAAACGATTCTTAATAAGACTGCTGATTTGGATTTGCGTTATTTTCAATTTGAAAAAATTTATTTTTGACAGTTTTGTTTAAACTGCTGTATTTTTTATAGTGTGCGACTTAAAGCAAAACGAAATTTATTTCACACAACTATAAACGATTCTTAATAAGATTGCTGATTTGGATTCGCGTTATTTTCAATTTGAAAAAATTCATTTTTGACAGTTTTGTTTAAACTGCTGTATTTTTTAAATTGTGCAACTACAAGCGAAACGAAATTCACTTCACACATCTGTAAACGATTCTTAATAAGACTGCTGATTTGGATTTGCGTTATTTTCAATTTTGGGAAAACGAACTTTCGATTTTTACACTGACAACGCGAGCGATCGACGTACTATCATTTTCGGTATTAAAAAATTAATTCCTTATAGTCAGCTGTCAGATTAACATTAATATATATTAAAAACACATTTTCAAGACCGTTCAAAGTCTTTAAGCGAAGATAGATCGATTTCGATGTTGAAGCGAAAAATTTAAAAAGTTGCAAGCTTTAAGATATGTCAAATATACATGCTCAGTCGTGTTTAGAATCGTTTCTTGTGGTTCGGGACATTCGCCTTTGAATGTTACATCGATGTAGAAAGCAGAATTTAAAAATCTTGAAATTTGAAAAAATTCATCTGTGACAGTTTTGTTTAAACTGCTGTATTTTCTGAAGTGTGGAACTACAAGCGAAACGAAATTCATTTCATACATCTGTAAACGATTCTTAATAAGACTGCTGATTTGGATTTGCGTTATTTTTAATTTGGGGAAAAACTTGAACTTTTAATTGTTACACTGACGACGCGAGCGATCGACCTACTATCATTTTTGGTATTAAAAAAATTAATTTTTTACAGTCAGCTGTTAGATTCACATTAATATATATTAAAAACACATTTTCACAAGTTCGTTTAGAGTTTTAAGTGAAGATTGATCGATTTCGATGTTGAAGCGAAAAATTTAAAGTTGACAAGGTTTAAGATATTATAAATATACATGCTCAGTCGTGTTTAGAATCGTTTCTTGTGGTTCGGGACATTTGTCTTCGAATGTTGCATCGATGTATTGTATAAAGCAGAATTTAATAATCTTGAAATTTGAAAAAATGCGCATCGTATCGGTGAGTTTTATCAATTTTTAATTAACTTATGGGTAATAATTTTGTAAAAATCTCCGATTTTCTAAAGCTTTACAATATAGAGTGTTTAGTATTATCTTGATTAGCAAAAATTTCTTATATTCTAGTTAAAAATTAAAGAATGACTATGTTTCAAATAATTTTTAATTTATTTAATATATTTAAATTGTACAAGAAACTTTAAGAACAGGAAATTATACATAACAATGATTAATACCAATAACTACTCTTTGGAATACGATCATCTTTAATACCCATTTCATCCATGATGTCCATCTCAAAAGTCTTTAATGTTGGCTACAAATATAAAAGACATATTTATTATGTATAATTTATATTATATTATATATAATATAGTATATATTTGTATATATAATTCATATGTAAAAGTTAAATCAATATTTGAAATTATTGCAACATTTTTTTAATTCATGTTACACACCATAAAAGTTATTCTTTCTGCATCCGCTTTAATTGTATCTTTTGGTTGTTCTTTGTATAAGTGAGGAGCCTTGTAATCTATTGTTTCCTCACTCGTGACAGGAATAGGAATTACTCTACCAGTTCTTAAAGATATGCGAACTTTTTTGCCATCTTCTGTGTATCGCCATTCTATTGGAGTTCCTTGCCTATAATGATTCAGTTTACATTATAAAATATTTTAATCATGTTTTCGTAAAACAAGTTCTTTGAATAAAAGATACTCACATGTCTGAAGGATCAACCAACTGCACCTGTGAAGTTACTAATAATGGTTGTTCTTGCTGCGTATAAAAACCAGGGAATTGTTTGTCTTGCATAACACGTTTCAGTTTTGTATTAAGTCCTTCGACAATTATCCAATTCCTTTCTTGATAGATTTCTTTTACGATTCCTTGCTTTCCTTTATCCTTTCCAACTAAAATTTCTACCTATAAAGTTATAGACATTAATTTGATTGTATAAAATGCCATAAGTTGCATTAAAATAATATTAATTATTCTATTAAAGTACTACAGTTTTCCAAATAAATTTACGTACCCTATCACCTCTAAAAAAACTCCAGTCCTTAATAAGCTCGACATGAATGAATTTATGTCTCTGACCAGGTTGATTGTAACGATGAAACTGATTAGTCCATGGACGATATATAGAGAAACGAAAATCTTTCTTTTCAATCGTACGTGGCAAATAATTTGGCTTACCACGAGGCGTTCTCCAATAAACCTAATTATAGTTTCATTAATAATATGCTGTTTATCTTTTCATAAACAATTCGATAATTGTGCATACCTGTGCCATAGCTCGTTCAATATAACTATCAGGTAAATTTGAATATTTCTTTGACCATTCTCCAACACGTCTCAATAAAGTAGATGTTAATCTCATAATTGGTATCCTTTTTTAAATTCTTTCTTAAAATAATCTAAAAGAATATATACTTTTATTTTGAGATAATTGCCTGCAAAATAAGTACAATTTATGTACTTGGTTATGTCAAGGTACTTGTTATGAAATATTTAATTATGAATGCACAACTCGTACAAATATTTTAGAAAATATTTAATTATAATTTTTAGAGATATTTATGCGGTGCATTAACAAATATATATACGAACATTCGATATAAAAGTCACTAAAACGAACAAACTAGTGACAACTTTTTTATCAGCTTTGTGCTTGCCTTCAACTGGCGCCAACTATAAAAACGTTGAAGAACAATTGTTGAATAATAAAATAAGTTTTGTGTAAAAACACTGCTAAGTGCACATAAACAATATTTAGTGTCATTAATACAGTGACGCATTGTAAAGAATTTTGAATAAATCTTTACAGACTAAATATAAACAAGAGTGATATAACTGCTCTATAGAAAATAGGTTAGAAAAATATCTCGAACTCCGAGGTTTTGATGCTTGATTTAGAAGATTTTTGAAGATCTTATGCAAGTTGCAATGATAGTCCCGGCAATAAGGAAAAGTGTGCCGTACAATTTACGACGAATTACTGCGTACGTTACTTATAGAAACAAAACGAGGACAAAGATCCCACGATATTGCAATGAATCAACTCTACTGTCTACATCGCTTCCAAATTTTGCTTCCTGTAGAACTTACAGCACCGAATCTGATTCTCAACCGCGGATCTTCTTACCTATGCTCGTGGACGGGGCTGCTACACACTTACCGTCTCTTATAACTCCATTGAAGCTTCTCTATTTATCAGTCTTTAGGATTACTCCACACATAGATAAAGAATTTGACGTAGTTGAGTTTCTTAAAGGAGCCAGATATGTATGATTCTTCTAATTTTGGTTTGAAATGATTTAAAAAAATATGTAAAACTATTATTTATATATTAATAGGTATATTATTATGTGTATTTTTAGGCAACGATAATAATATCTAAAGCTTTAACAAATAAAGATTATGAATCTTTACAAGGCCTCGTAACAGAAGATATGATAGAGATTTTAAGGAACAAAATCGAGACTCTTACTCCTAATCAAAGACAACTAATTGCAGTAAATGATGATGACATGTTGTTTTATATTTTATCTGATATTGCGGCTACAGTAGGTAGGAACTGTTTAGTATTTACTATTAAATTATATTATATTCTCTTAAAATGACATGAAATATATATTTCATTTCTCACAGGTGAGGAGCATTCCATTAAAATCACAATAATTTGTCATTATATCCAAGGTCTTGCTGAGAAAAAAAATAGAATGATGAGTGGAATCATAGATTTTACTAAATCAACAGAACATTTAGTATGTAATTATACATTTATTCGTAAGTATGTAAATAATATTGGAGGTCCATGGATTGCATCTTTTGTAAATCATTACACTGTGTCATAAAGATATTTGTTGAATATAAAAGTTTGAATTAAAAAATTGTGCTACTCTATTTAATTATTAATGATATTAGAAAATTTTGTAAATACTCTAGTCTTTCTATAATAATTATTATATTTAATAAAAAAATTAAAGTAATCAAATAAAATCGTATACATTAAAAAATTTTTTCATAAATAAAGAAATAATATAAATTATATTTTATACACATATGCATTCAATTATATATATATTAGTTTTGGAGTCTTTTCAATATTGGTGGAATATATTGTTGAATATGTAATTTGTGTAGATAAGTAATTCCATTTTTGGAAATGCTTATAATCAAAGGTCCCTGCAAAATGAAATATTTTAATATTAATGCTAACATATTTACCTTACATAAATGATAAAATTACATGTACACTGTACCTGACATATTTGTGGATTAAATATGTAACATTTCCCGTGTTCGTTACACGACAAATTATTCGACTTTATAGTTGCAGAAGTAAAAAAACTTAGTTTTAGATCTCCCGAGTAATGCACTGAAACCTTCAATACATTTAAATAAGAATTCATTAACGAGACTGTAATCTTGGCAGTAATATCAATTTCACTTAATCTTATTTCAAAAGATTTCTTTGAAAAGGCCATTAACTCATTTAAATTATTTAGCATAGGTGATGGATTTCCTGCAATAATATCATACCATATAATGTATGATGATTTAAAAATAGTTCTTTGAGGATATATACAATTTTTTTTTTGTATAATTACTTTCACTTTGAATTGCATCAGTGAGACGGAAGTGTTTAGTAGTATTTGTTGAATACATTGGAATTTGATTGCGCTCTGTTCCCTTTAACACTTTATCTATTGCTGTAAATATAAATTAACAAAATTTATATTAGGAGATACAGGAATTATATGTATAAACTATGTATATAAATTCTTTTTTGTGTCTTACATTTTCCTACTTCTTCAAATACTTTTATGATTGGGATATTTTGAGTAATATAATTGCTTAGATGCATTGCATATAATCCAGACTGAGAACTTTCTCTTTCATAACTAGGACAATAACTAGACGTGGAATATGCTTGGACTAAATTTCGAAGATTTTTCCGACTTTTATAGTTTATATTTGTTTCTAGTATTTCTGGTATTTCATTATAAATATCAGGATTACATTCTCTAAAAAATAATATTTAATATAATGGATTTTTAAATACTCAACTGTACTTAACTATTCATTTGCTTTAGCTTGAAATTTTTTATATACACATACATATGTAATTCCAGAAATTCTTACCTTTGTGGTACAGTTTGACACATATCCAATATTGTTACTAAAAGAGTAGGATCTTTTTGTTGTAACATAGCTAACAATTCACTTTCACAAATTGAATCCTTCCTTAAGAAAGATTCTGGTGTGTCAACAGCAAGCATGTGACTTTCTTGCATTTTAAAGCCATGCCCACAATAGTAAAACAATCCTATATTGATACCAAATTTTAATAAGTACATTATATAAGTACATTATATTTTGATGCAACATATCTATAACAAGTTACCATAGACTCCTTTTGTTAAAACTTCACTAAATATTTTTATAGCATTCCTCATCTGTTCAAGTGATAAATTTAGAAAGCAGATTACTTTAAAATCTATCTTCTTCAACCGATTATGAATTCTCATAGCATCATATCTAGGTTTCATTAAACATTGAAGATTTTCATATTCATCATTTGCAATGATTAAAGCTATTTTTGCAATTGCCTTTTCACGAGGAGAGTGAACCTATAAATATATTAAAATATTTTTTAATGATTTATAATTTTATGTATGTATATAGTTTTTTATATTAATAGTAAAGTTTTATAAGAATAATTAATAATTTATAATATTCATAAGATTACTACACATAGAATATTAAATAATTAGGGTATATTTACCAGTACAAGAGTTTTTTTAGTAATTACTTCACTCATGCTATTACTTATATGACAGTAATACTGTCCTCCAACATTGAAATTAGATTGTTTTATCTGGAATAGGACTTTTTGTTATGAAAATTACAATTTTCTAGTGTTAGTTAATATCATGTACTTACATGCAATACATTTGATGTTTTTCCCTCTAACATTGTATTGTCTTTGAACCATTGGTAACATGGTTTAGGATGGCTGCGTGCCTTACATTTAATTATAAGGTCCTCATTCTCTTCAATCTCTAATAAAATGGGTGGTTGCTGTTGCATACATACAGGTATATAAGGTATAGTCACAAAAACTGACTCTGTTCGCAGTACAGAATTTAATGCCTCTTCATCTTCATCTTCACCTTCAATAACTTGTGAAATTTTACAATTATATTCTCCAGCATCTTCACAACTGTAAATAATTATATATAACAATTCATCTATTGTTACACATTTTTGCATGGGCAATATTTTTTTACCTATTTATAGTGATATCAAGTTTACGCTTCTTCTGACCACGCAGCTTAATATTATTATGATACCATTGATAACTCAGAAGTGTGCCAACAGCTTTGCAAGAAAGATGAAGTTTTTCACCAATAGCCAATTGTAATGTATTACATACCATATCATCAGACGGATGTTTAACAATTATTATTGGCTCTAACAATAATATTAAAAGTTATATTACAAGTAAAAAATTATGAATCTTAAAATTTCTGTAATGTATGTATATACGTGTGTATGTATATATATATATATATATATATATATATATATATATATTAAAAATACCTGGACGATATAAAATTAACCAAACACTATCAAGTTTACACTCTTTAAGTAATATACCTAATGTACCAACTGAACACATTTTTGTCCTTAGTTCATCGAATATATTTTCCGCTCCCATATGACTAATCCATGGTGACATACAACAAATGTATAAAGAAAATGAAAAGAGTAGACATTCGATTTATTATAACTTTCATATCTGAATGTTTAATATTTTTACCATCCATTATACTCACTTGTTGAATTTTGTGGTTACAAGAGGTAATGTTTTTTTTATTTGAGCCTGCAGCTTACGATAATTAAAATTCTCATTCAATTTATTGACCAATTTCTTATATATACTTATTGGAAGATCGTATAAAAGTCTATCTTCGTCGAATTTCGACAAATGTGTATATGCCATTCTTCTTTTTATGTAGTCACAATGCAGTTTATATTAGTAGGCACAATGTAATTTAAATGTATATTTCTTAATTTTTTACACATATAAAAGACTTATAATTGTATTAACGTTACAATTTTCCAGAAACTATTCTTCTTATTTTTCTTAAGGTTGGTTTTGATACTAATTATAGCTAGATTGTTATATTCAAAAGGTCATAAACTAGTTTCAACTATTAAATGAGCGTGCATTACTTGTTGCACAGTTAAGCGGGGAGCACACACTTTTGCATAAGCGTATAAGCGTAAACATAAGACTTGATTGGTCTATGAACGTATGCATAAGAAATTCAACCAATCGAATTTCGTATGCATATGCTTATGCGCTTATGCAAGAGTGTGTGCTCCCCTGTTTTATACAGTATTTCAGCGTCAAAAGGCGTTCGCGTGACTAAAAATAAAGATCACCAATTCGTCAATTTTAATCACGCGACGTCGAGCGTCACCACGAAGTCAGCTTAGTAAAAGGAGTAAAAATATTGGCCAAATGTATGTTGTATTTTGGATTGTATTTATTTTAATTCCTATTTTTATAGAATTCATATGAGACAAAAGTATGAAAATTTCACGAAAGTTTATAAAATATTTATTATGTATATTGTTTGAAAATATGAAAGAGAGGTCTGTTCTTTTTCAGCTGAACTGCATTAGTTCAGAGTATCTGTTTTACTCCACATTGGAAGGAAAGAGATAAACTTTGAACTAGTGCAGCTGAAAAGAACAGACCTAAAAGTCATGCTTCTAGTATCCATAGACATATCTTTTAGTCACAGTAGAGAAAATACAAAAGGACAGGTTAGAGGAGCAAAGAATAGAAAACATCCACCAATAAATTAGCAGATAGAGATATTAGCAGATAGCGATAGATATTGTTCCCTGCTTCGCTTAAGATATATGCATAAGGAATTAGATTTTCATTCTTATGTTTATGTGTTACGCAAAAATTTCCGGATATATCCTAATATTTATTCCTATTCCTACTATTTTTCTATTGTGCTCAGAGTTGTATATCCAAACAGTTGATTGGTCGATTTTAACTGAAAGCTACCGATTCTTATTGAACATCCAATCAGAATACAAGGAATATCGACGACTAGGAAATTCTACGTCGCCTCGTTAGCTCGAGCACAAATATTCTAGCGCTCTTCTTCGCGGAATGCGAGTGCGGTGGGGCACTCTCGCGACCAATCGGCCCGCGAAATTTGTGGAGCCTGCGCGATGTGCGCGGCGCGCTACGCCGCATGATCTTGCGTATCAGTGTTCGCCAGTGCCATCGAGAAGGCACACGCAGCGATTTTACGCGGGTTAACAAAGCGCGTTTACAGTCCGTGAGCGAGATTTCGCGAGCGGTGGTGCGGTACCAACGAACGGGTGAAAGAAAACGAAAAGAGGCGAAACTGTAAGAGGGAACGAGAGCGTCGACGAGGGTGGTGGTCGGTGCTGTTGCTTAGTGGGTAGCGGCGGTGGTGGTGGTGGTTGGCGGTGGTGGTGTCGGTGGTGGTGGTGGTGGGTGCTCCGGGTTCCGCGAGTGTCCGCGAAAAACTAGTGCCGCGAGCCATCATGGCGAACCCACGGAAATTCAGTGAAAAGATCGCGTTGCTGAACCAGAAGGAGGCGCAGGACTCGGCGGCGTTCGAGGCGATCATGAAGGAGGTGTCGGACGTCACAAGCAGAGTAAGGAAACGCTAGTAGGTCCTTTTGGCGCGCGCGAAAGGGTCGATGCCGTGTCGCGCACCGTGACCCGTCCGTGCACCTCCCTCGGCTCAGATGTTAGAACGTAAACAACGAGTGTATCTCCCCCCTTACCTCCCGCACAGCCCCCCCCCCTCTCCTCCACCTCCCCGTTCTACGCCGTACGTCGTGTATCCGTTTTCTTTCTCTATCCATTCCACCTCTTTTCTCGTTTTACCGCGCGTTTTGTCGCGTTTCTCTTTCTGCGTGTATATATTATGTATATATATATATATATATATATATATATGCATATACGCGAGCGTGTGTGCGTGTGAACCGGGTTGAGCGAGCGTGCTGTTGATGTGTGTATGTACGTATATGCATGCGTGCATCTTTGTATGCGCGACTGCTGCAAGTGCATCGCGCGGCCGCGTATATATCGGCATGCGTGTGCATCGCTCGCGCTCGGCGTATATGCGCTCCGATAGATACGTATGTATATATATGTATACATACATACGTCGCACGAATTTTCGTCGCGCTTCCCTATCTCGCGAGATGCACGCGACGACGCGACGCGCACCTGCTGCGGAGTGCATCCGCGACGGATAGGTCGCGTCGTCGAGCTTATCGCGCGATTAATAAACGCGAATCAACCTTGCCTGATATCCCGCGCGCTAATCAATGTGCCACTTGAAATTCATACGTTTTAACATGCGCGAACAATCGATCGGTTCGTGCTACATTCTACTCGGCAACGAGAGAAAGAGAGAGAGAGAGAGAGAGCGAGAACTCTGTGTTCGAATTTATTTTCCTTCCTTTGTTTCGATAATTCTGCACATTTTTCCTCCTCCATCTTTTTCCTCTTACGCTTCTTGAATGAAGAGAGGAAGAAACAACAATATAGAAACTAAATATTTTTCTCGGAAACAATATGACGTTCGATTAAAGTGCGTTCGATACGTTTCGATGCGCATGTAAACATTCCGCGCTCTCTTTCTCTTTCTCTCTCTCTCTCTCCGCTTAGCGCCGGCGGCCCTCAAAGTATTTTCAATGAGAGCGTCGGCGAGGTTGGGTCGATGCATTTAGCGTCCTCGAGTGCACCTCCGCGCGCGGTTAAAATGGGGCACCGGGGAGAATGTTCTCCAATCGCGCCAAAAAGATAAAAACGTCGCGCGGGATTATTTGATATCATCTCCGGAGTGTTCTTGAACAAAAATCTGCTTGAATGAACGAAACGAAATTGGATTTCCGTCTTTCGTATGCGAAACTTCTCTAAAATTTGGATACTCTGCGTATATGTTTGTACAATGAATGTCCGAATTCAATTAGAATTTAGGGAAACAAATATAAGGAAGGAAAAAAAACATGTAAAATTTTAACCCTGCATTTTCAATTGTTTTATTTTTTTAATCATTTTCATTTCTCTTTAAACTAACATCTGCCATGTCTCGTTCATTAATTGTACGAGGTGTACGATACAAAAAATCCGTCAGATTTCGCAATCTCTGTTTACGGCAGAGTTTGCGTGCGCGTTTCGTTCACTCAGAGAGAGAGAGAGAGAGAGCCAGGCTAGAAGTACCGTTTGAATCGGCAATCGGAGAATGGAATTCGCTACGGAGATAAGAACCTGTTTATTAGAGCGTGGTCCATAGGAAAGCTGCGATACTACGCCGCGAAAACGTAGCATAGTCCCCTTTTTCCCCGAAAGTCTTCTGTTAATCCCGGAGAAACCTGTCAAACTGAGAGAATCAGTTCAATCGCGACGATCAATAACGTCGAATGTCGAAAATTACGAAATTTTCCCAACGAGAGATTAGATTCCGGAAACGAGCGCGAGGGAAACAATTGCGAAAGACAACAGATTCTTGACCCTTGACCTTTCGAGTTCACCGGGTTCCGGGAAATCGCGTTAGGAACGGTAGGGGAAGCGAACGTTTCGCGCGCAGAAATATCCGTAAATATTAATGGGCTCGTTGACGAGATCCATCACCCTCGACGGCTGGTCGACTTGTCAATGGTTGTCAATGACGGACCTGCACAGGTGGCCTCGGCGAGCAGCTCGGTGGGTGCTAGTCCCACGGGATCCGGCGTACCGGAGACCCCGCTGTCCGTCAAGAGTGCCGGCGCCAGTCCACCGCAATCGAGCGGCAAGCATCTCCACATTAACCTGGGGAATCAGTTCAGGGCGGGCGGCTCGCTGCCGAACGTAAACAACAATGTCAATTGCGGCAACGACGCGAAAGAGCACTCCTCGCCGCACACCGGCGCGATCCATTCGATCGACCTTAAGGTCTGTACAGCTTTTCATCCTCGAACGAAGCTATCCTTGTTGTTATTATTATTGTTGTTGATGTTGTTCGGCTTATTATCTCCCGAACCGTTTCGTTCTGCAACCCTACCTTCTCTCTCACGGAGAAAAATTCTTCCGAAAGTTCACGTTTTTTCGCCGCTCTTCAGTTATCCACCTCGCAGATTTATTTAATTTTTTAGATAATTTTAGAAGAGACGCAAAACTTTCCCTCTTCTGTTAATTTTGTGCCGATCGAGGCTTTATACGATGCTTGATGACATGACATAAAATGTCATCGAATCAAATTACGAAACTTTAAATTGACATGCATAATAGTGCAACACAGTTCAATTTCATTCCCTCATTTCAATCACGAATACAATGTTTTTTAATTAGCTGTAAATATTTTTTTTTCTCTAATAATAAGATTGATCTCCCTATTATTCTGCAAAAAAATCTCGCCGGTTTCAAAATAACTTCGTGTTTTGCGATAAGAGAATTTCCTGTCGCGCATCATTTTGAAGCTATTCTGAAAGCTTCTTTTAATATTAGATAAATTGCGAAAAACTTTTCTCCGTGTTTTCAAAGATCGTCCCGCATCGCAGACATTTTACTCGCTTTGTCTCGCGCCAGGTTCCAGTATGATTGCGAAATTCACTTTGTTTTGCGAGTAGGAATTCTGGATCCACACCGATCGTAGCAATTTTCTTTTTGTAGCAATCTTCTTAATTTTCTTTTTTTTGCAATGTCTTTGCACAATAATGCAATTGCATGGCACGTACATAATAGCACGAATTATAACGATGTTCCCGATCGCACTAGATATTTTATAGTTGTAGTCAATTATACTAAGCAGTATTTAAATTAAGATTCGCATTAAGTGTCAAAATAGTAGACAACAAATATTAATAATCGATAAATGGAATGAATAATGAATACTTAATGTCGACACTATTTCTAATCACGTTAAAAGGAAAATAAAGATTGAGATTACATACACATACAGAATTCTGGTCTTTCTACACGCCTACATCGTAGTCGTACATTTAATTAACATTGAAGAGTTTTTTTTTTAAGATGAAGATGTGAAAAATTTTTTAAATAGAAAATATCTTGATGAAAATATGATCGAACCCAGGCATTAATGATTTTTATTCATGTATAATTCCAAGTATTTCCTCCCCAGAGATTTAGTAATGTAGACAAAGTCATGAAATCGCGATGATTCTACATCAGGAATTGCGAAGTTTTAACAAATGCAAATTGACGGCTAAATTTCAGTAGCCCCCCAATAACTTATAATGGATTTATTAGCAAATCAATTAAAAAGTTATATTATAAAAAAACTGTTTTATAAATATATTGCGCGTGTCTGTCTGCGTGTATGTGCGCGTGTGTACGAGGAAATTCAAATTATTTTATTTGACTCCGATGTTTTAAAATAGCAAATTATACTTTTTCTGCATCCGGATAATAATTAAATTTCCCGAATGAGATTTTTTTCGTGTCCGGATGGACAGAGCAAATTATGCAATGTCATCTCAGGCAAAGAACTAATGAAGATATTACGTAATATTTTTTTCCGTATTAGTAGTATGTTATACTGATTTAATTGTGCCATGAAATCACAAAGCGTATAAAAAAGTACCTACGATTTCTTGGTTAAAGACTGTAATTGTGTATACAGCTGCTTGCATAAACAAGTAATTATTTTATCTCCGTAAAAAAAACGTAAGTTGTTATGTATAAAATTGCCGAAATTACGGTACTGAATTGAATCATCTTATCTCGTGCGTAATTGACGGATTCAATACTAAGCCTAAGATAAACTTATAATTCGCCAACTTTAAATACGAAGTCGTTTCTATAAACGGACTCCTATAAATTATAAACACCTCTTATTCCTCTCTTTTTCTCTATCTTTTTCTATACACACACACACACACACATTATTGTACATACTGAATCTTTCAATTATTTAGTCGAGATCTTAGACGAATTAATTTTATAAGAAATCTTATCCGGTGTATTTTTCATATTGAGTTTTCTTAATATTCTTTACGCAATACAGCTTTGTGAGCGAGTTAAAAAAATTAAATGGTACTGGAATCAAAGGCATATAAGATCATAAAAAATTATTTAATTAAACATGGGCTAATAAATAATTATTATGCATCGATATCTCACGACTTTTTATCATTATGCTCGGATTTGTTTCGTTTCAATGCATATTTATAATTTATCCAATATTTTACAACATTTTCTATCTCAGTTTTATTTATATTTTAAGCCGCATGTGTTTGTCGTGATTACTTACTATTATACAAATGACTATTTTCTGAATTTACGTAATTTAGATTCCTATGCTACACGTTCTCGTTTTTCTCCACGAGCGAGTTGTTTTGTATCATAACATTGTACGCTGGATATATTGTCGCATACACGATTTTGAAGCAAAATTTCTCCCATGTGTCGAATTAAACCATGAACCAAAGCTGCAATGATATATTTAGACATATTAATTAAACAGAAAAAATAGAAAATAAAATTAAAAATAATTTTTCACGTTATTGACTGAATCGCGTAACATGATTAAAAAACAATTAATTTTTCTAAATTAATTATTAGAAATATTGTTTAAAACATATATTTACCTCTGGTACTGTTCCTTGGACACATTTGGCTATATTAAATATCTTTTCGCATACATCCGCGCCGGCTAAAATAAGGATCAAAAATTAGAACGGAAATAAATTGATTCGCGAAACAATAATTATCATTCATAAAATACTCACTTTGCACGGCGCATTTGTTCAAAATCTGGTTACCTATTTCTTGATACTGCTCAGGAACGACGCTTATCAGCATCTCGGCTTCCAAATTACCTTCGTCGTCAACCTGTGTCGAAATTTCCATAAATGTTCGTCGTACATGATAATAAAGTAATGAATAAATGCTAAAGTAATGCGGAATAAATTACCAAACTGAATGCGTCGAGGAGACAATGCATGTAGCATGTTATACTACGATCATCCGAAAGTTTCCCATCATTAACCTCGTCGATAAGTGCTGCGTCGCGAAATTGAAATGTCCATTATATAAATTCGTGATGTACGGAAAAAATTTATTATTACAATAAAATTGCAATAAAAGTTTCATAATCGTGGATACAAAACGAGAAAAATCGCAATATTTTTACTCACAATCAACATTATATACGTTTTATATTTGACAAAGAATTATTATTCAGATATGATTTCTGTAATAATAAATATCATAACATTGTTATATTTTAGTTTTATACAAGATATTATGAAAGGCAATGTATTTATCATTATAATTTGTATTTGTAAAATTGTAAAGTTTTTTCGTTTGATCTTAAATAATTATTAACTAAAACTTTAAGCTCTCGATATATAAATCATATTTAAATTCAACAGGCAAGATCCAGACCCTGATTCAATACATCAATTTCAAAGAAGAATTAATTTTTCGTCGAAACTAATTTGTACCAAGAAAAATTGGTACTCTATGCACAACGAATTAATTTTACCGAAGAATTAATTCTTCTTTGAAATTGACGCACTATGTTTGACTTTTACTTGTCTGTTAAATTCAAATATGATTTAATAATTATGTTCACATTGGCAAATTATCGTGGAGCTTATTGTTAGTCTAATAATAATTAAGGTCTAATAATAATACGGAATATCGGAAATATCGAATTAATATATCATAGACAGGAGCACGAGATTGGTACAAGATTTTTCCTCTTTTCTTTTTTTATCACAAATTTAAAATGACAAAGTTAGTCAATGTTCAGTTATTATCGTACCCATTAATTTTCCCGATACACCGCGCTATTGTCGATGATTTTTACAATTTACTGGTTTGATAATCATACATTGTATCTTTACTGATTATACGACACTGCGAATATCTTCCGCATTATTAGCGAATGTATTATACGTTATTTCGTAAATTATCTAATATGCATATATACTAAAATATATTAAATGTTTTATACATTTTTTAATTTGAACATTATTATTCGGTTCGACAAAAAGAAAGGTTGAATCATGTACAATCTAATAAATAATTCAAACGCTTAGAACGTGGGATTTAAAAAGTATATGACAATAAATACATCGTGGAATTGAAAAAATGTTATATATAGGATCATGCATCGGATTAACATTTATTACGCGATTTAATTGCGAGACTCACCTTGAGTCGTTCCGTGCTCGGCCATGCACCGTTCCTTGTCGGCTTGAACCATCTCCAACATTTCCGGAGGGATCCAGTCAGGTGGCTGGACAGAATCAGAATTTATTACGAGCGTATCGCGGCAGATATTTTCGCGTGTCTCGGATTTTAGCACCATTCTTCGATAAAAATAGCGCGCGCGCGCGCGAATCACTTGAGTAATAATGATGGTGGATCACTATTGTACGTGTTGGTTATTATCATCGCATCATCCCTATCAACGCGGACCTATCTATCGCGTTTATCGAAAGTAAGCCAAAAAGCCGCTTACCCCGGCGGACACGTAAATCGCCTGTAGCAACACCACGCCGAGGATCACCGACACGTGCATCGTATATTTTTGTAATATGTACGTTTGCTCGCCTCGAGATGAGATGTCACTTTTCCACGACGGAATGTACCATCCGCGTCGGTTACGCGCGGTTTTTATAACGCCACGACAACGGGATGTGGGCGTGCTTAACAGAGGGTTAATGCCATACCGTTCGCTTACTAATTGAGGCTCTCCGCCGTCTAAAGTCGCCGGCCGAAACCCTAGATAATTTTCCGACTCTTGACGGAAGCGTGCAGCACGGGATTACGTGTGTCCGCGACCTTCGACATATCCTGCGTATATCCTACAATACATATACTCGATATAGACGCACATACTTAGCTCCAGGAACTTTTCCATTTTTATTACCCACGCATCAAACTAAAATCGAAAAAGAAGAAAGTTATAGCGAGGAAGTTTTGCTCTCTTTCTCCCATTTTTTTGCGCGATAGCGTTAAGTTGAACGCAATTATTTTAGTATTAAATATTTGTTTTGCTTTTAATAGATTTTAATATTAGTTCAATACATTAAACAGTATGGTATTTAGGATTTTTTTTTTAGACAAAATTGTAATTGAAACGAATATAATTTTCATGTTGATGAAAACAACGTTCTTTTTTTTTTATTAAATTCTATTTAATTTGTAATTTTTTATATATATCAATTATAAAACCACGCGATGTTTGTTTTCTGCTAAACAACGGGAAGTTCTTAATACACGTAATTAACGTCTCTCCATTGAAACCTTAACCGGAGACGGACGCTTATTTGATTCAATACACGACCCTATGGTGTTTTCAATTCCGACATATTTATTGCCATAGATACTCTTTTGTAGATTCCAAGTTTCAAGCGTTTCGTTTATTTATTCGACTGCGCATACACGTGTGCGTTTTTTTTTTTTTTTTTTTTTCGTCAAATCAAATAATAATATTGGAATAAAAAATGTAACAATACATTTCATAATATATGTCATATTCAACGAAATACGAGAAACATATATAAGATAATTTATTGAACAACGCACTTCCGCTGATAATGCGGAAAATATTTACGAGGGACAATGTCGTAACCAGGAAAGATACAATATAAGATTACCAAATTACCGGTAAATTGTAAGAATCATCGACAACAACGCGGTTACCGGGGAAATCAGCGGGTATATGGTAATAACTGAAAATTGACTTTGTCATTTTAAATTCGAGGTAAAAAAAAAAAGAATGAGGGAAAAACTCCATAGTAATCTCGTGCTTGTGTTTGTGATACGTTAATTCGATACTTCCGATCGTATTATCACCCTAATGACTTGGGATTATAGGCTAGGTCTCGTATTATACGATTGGTGTAATTTGTCAATATGGATGTAATTGTTTACTTACGGAAATTACAGTATGTAACTGCTCGGAGGTAATTATTAATGAGCAAACTCTTCCGTCTTTTCGATTTATTTATAATATAGAGTCTCGTATTAATCTATAACGAAGCGAAATGTAGTCGCACTACAAAATATAATATTAAGATTATCATCATCATTATCATCATTTATCATTATCAACAACATTACTATTTCAATTATTATACGTATAAGGTCTTGTGAGGCGAGGATAAAAACGTTTGCGAATTAATTAACCGTGAATTGAATCGAATCGATGAACTTGCCTGATTGACCCTTCGTATTTTGTCGTTAACGCGCTATTCTCCGTTCATCATTGCAATCATTGAAAATTAATTAGATTACACAATACAACAATAATCCGGTCGATAATGTCGATGCGTTTCGATATACCATTCAATCGGATTACGTTGTATTCATAATCTGATTAATTATGATTTGTCGCGATGCGTGCGTTTCGCGGTAGAATGAAATACGCGTTTAAAGTTTAAAGATTATTTAACGTCAATTAAAAAATACGATTTTGATCGGAAAAATTACGGATTAATTATTTGAAACAATATATATATATATGGAAATAATTTTATAGCGATCAAATAATCTCATCTTCTTTACGAGTGGAACAAAATTATGCAAAATATCTGAATAAACGTGAGCGGTCGAAGTTCCGCGAGCGGTCGATCTTCTTTAGCGTTTCACGGGAAGCTCAAATAACACGTGTTACACCGCGAAATTGTATGTAATTTGGAATAACGTAAGTCGCATTTCCTCGTAGATCCGATAGACCTTGTGTGTATACGCGCGAGTTTCCTGAATAAGTGATACACTTTTTAAGGTGTCTTATAGACTTCGCGAGAGGCTGATCGATCATAGAGGACAACGAGAAATCATTGTTTGGTCTCCGAGTATCGCAATGTCACGAAGAGAACTGTCGTGCTTATTAATACACTCTGACCTTGATACAGCCGCGCGGTTCGAGGGTAGCGCGACTCTTCTATATATCGCTTTATACCCCCGCGTTGCGTTGCGTTGCGTTGAATTTCCAGTTGGAGCGACAAATTGCTCCCCCAGCGTATGCTTCTGATATCCGATTACTCGAATCGATCAATTTTTCTCCCGTATTTTATTTTTCATCTCGATTTTTAATCCCACACCTCCACTTCGATACTTTAAATAGATCAACCCCTTTTCGGAACTATATCCAACTCTTATTGTAGTTTTATCGAAAGTTCTCCTCTTTTAACCCTCTAAGTGGAAAGCTATGTTTAGATACGACGCTTATTTCAGATACAAAGTAGAAGCTCTATTTCTATAATAAATTAACTTATCTCGAAATTATTTAGAATATATATACATGTATGAACATGAGAAAATGATTGAGATATTAAAATAGAAGTGAAATTTCGTCTCGTGACCTAGTCTGTTAAAACTGTCAAAATGTCTCGCGTGTCGGGCCATGCACGTATTCGCTAAAGAACAGGATTAGGGCTCGTTTCTATCCTACACTCTCGCGGTATCTCGAAGATCCGAGTGATGCACCTGCATTACGCGCTTTTAATCAAATCAGTCGCGATTATCGGGCGACTGCATCATTAATTGCTATATCGAAGCATCACCAACCAAGGCCGCACGTTTCGATCGCGCGAGGAGACAAGTTTCCTTTCCTCCCCCTCCCCTTTCCCACCCCGGATATGATCGCGATGAAAAGACCTCTCCCTCCCTTCGATCATTCGACGCGATTGCATCCGCATCTTCCCGCCGTCGTCGTCCAACTTTCTCGCGCTCTCACGCCGAATCGATCGAATTTCCGGCGGATTTCTGCTCCTGCGCACGTGTCGCGGCGCACCTATATCACGCCGTTCATACCGACACGACGACGACGTGCGAGAGCTCGCCTCGGCTCGGCCTCGGTGCAATCTAATTGAATGGCAACTCCGTAGACGATGCGCGTACGAGCCTTCATTCTCGGAAAAATGCATCAAAGATAGCGGTCTCAAATACGGTATGATCAATGGTGTTGTCACGCGCTCATCATTTCGCCAAGCTACATCCAACATTCGAGTACATATATTTTTTTTTTTTTTTTTATAGTCTTTGCCTAAACAAACTTCGCCGTCCCGAAGGAGGGTCATTTGTGGTGGATTCCCGCCCGTAGTATCCCGAGGACTATCGGACCGACCTAAAACCTGACTGAATGGTCGTAACTGTCCACCGAACCGCGTTAGCATAACTTCACGGTGGACAACCGGCGTCCTTTCCCGACCGGCGTTTTGAGTACATATATCTAATCTACGGTCAAATTTAGCGTCATTTTTTTACATTAATTTCAATTATATATATGCGAAGAAGGAGAAAGCATCTTTTACTTTTTTATGATTGAAAAAAATAAAATTCGACGAATGATCATTTCGCCAAGCTACATCCAACATTCCAGTACATATATCTAATCTACGGTCAAATTTAGCGTCATTTTTTTTACATTAATTTCAATTATATATATGCGAAGAAGGAGAAAGCATCTTTTACTTTTTTATGATTGAAAAAAAAAAAAATTCGACGAATGATCATTTCGCCAAGCTACATCCAACATTCGAATACATATATCTAATCTACGGTCAAATTTATCGTCATTTTTTTTTACATTAATTTCAATTATATATGCGAAGATGGAGAAAGCATCTTTTTAAATCATTACTTTTTTATAATTGAAAAAAATAAAATTCGACGAATGATTCGTGTATATATATACGGAGCGCCTTAATACCTTTTCAAAAAGGAGACGCGTAGCCTCCGGCAGGATGTTTCTACCCTTTAGAATGATGTGTCTAGGGGAAAGATTCGCATGAAAGGATAGCATCCCTTCAACGATGCGAGCAACCGTGCAAGCTCCGGCGACATGGCAGAAAACAAACGCTGTGCCGCGTACACGTGCTTCGCGACTATGTATATGTATGTGTGTACGTATACTCTCTCTCTCTCTCTCTCTCTCTCTCTCTCTCGCATACGGAATATTGATCGCGTATACTCGTGCAGGTAATCTCGCAGTTCACCAGTTTCATTTGTTCCCAGCGTGTCGATTGTCGACGGCCGCAGCAGTTTCGATTATTGACACTAGTATAGCGAGTTTGTCGTTTTAGGATCGAGGGAGAGAATCCGCGGCGTGCCGCGGCATATATATATATATATATTTACATGCCAAAAATTTGCACAGGTGTAGCGATACGCTGTTTCTCTGGCGCAGAGCAGTTTGTTTTGGAAAATACAGGATCTTCGTTCTCCGATCCGCTCTCATCCTTTGCCAGCTCCCCAGCGATCGATTTTCCGAGGATAACGCTCGTTTCGCACTCGAGATTCCCGGGGATTTCGCCCGCGGCAATATATATGAAACGAAACAATCCGTTTAAGACCCCGCTCTATAAGATTTATTGCTACCGCTTTATACCCCCGCGATGATTTATATATCGGGAAAGGTCGCGAGGAGAGGGAGAGAGAAGGAACGATCGGGTTATCTACACGTATCGCACGCTTGCGTACAAACGAATTCGGTTGGGTTGAAGATGCAACGCTCGTTTCCTGTTTCTTTCTTATCTGGCTAGCAGACTTGAATGGTGGATGCGTATCCTCGCCAAAGTGGGTCATTGTCGTCGAGAGACGTGTATGTGCATGTAGGAGGGGGATGAGAGAGTGGAGCAAAGTTGTCATCGAG